CGTCCACGCCGCATTGACAGGACGCCGCCACGACCACCTTTTTGATAGGACGCCGCTCGAATTGGGAGCGCCAGCGCCCGTGCGATCACCCCGCGCTCCCAAAACCCTAGCCTAGAGGCCGTATCCGCCCTCCACGTACCCCCTCTTCCCTTCACCACCGTCTGTCGCTCTCCATGGCCACGACCTCACTATAAGAGGGCACTCTTGGTGCCCTAGCGCCCTTCCTACACCCCGTCGCCACTCTGTGGCAACCCACGAACCACCGCAATGCCTTAGAGGAGGAGAAGGAGGAAGGAGAAGGAGGGAGGGAAGGAGTCGAGCCCACCAGAGTCACTCGAGCCCACCGGAGTCGCCCGAGCTCACTGGAGAAGAAGACGGCGCCCTGATCGTCTTCCTCACCGTAGAGGTTCGGCACTACTCTGCTACCTCTCGCCATGGCCTCGTCTCACCACTGCACCACCATCCTACCTACCCCACCACCACGGTGAGCCCCCGACGCCGCTCTACCATGCTCGCCGCCGTGAACATGCCATGGCCGCGCCACCATGTTCTCCCCTTGGGAGGGCCAAGGGCTAGCCTTTTCGCCGTTGTAGTGCACCGCACACACTCACACATGCACAAGAGCCAAGGCTCAGCCTTGCCAAGCCATAGGGGCTCGTGAACGTTGCCGCTGCCGTGTCACGGCCACCGTGCTCACCAAGCCCAAACCCTACCATGGTGCAGCTGTGTTCCGGCAACCTTGGGCCAGTAGAGGTAGAATGAGCACCTCGGCAAGCTTTGCCTCGCCAAGGGACGCATCACGCGCTAGATGGAAGAAGAAGAGGAGCCTCGGGGGCCGCTGGTCATGTCCGCCTCGCTGGACCACTGCGCGCCCATGTCGCCGTCATGCCAGGGATGATCCAGTCAAGTCCGGCCGCCTCATGAGATAAGATCTAGCCGTCGAGCTTCGCCATGACCCAGCGCACCCCACCGTATAGCTAGTCGGACGGAAAGCCCATGCCATGCCCTAGTTCGCCTCAACCGTGAACTCACCGGAGCTCCGCCACGCACCTTGCCGCGGAGCAGACTCTACCGTGCACTTTGGTCACCGTCGTCGAGTCCTTTGCCTTCCCCATGGCCCCAATCGAAGGAAAGGAGCCACCTTTGGCTCTGTTTGAGACTGTAGAGACCTTGCTATAGCGTGCCATCGCCGCTGCGTCGCCACTGCCTTGGCTAGACCCGCCGGAGCCCGTAGGGCCAAGCCTAGCCCCTTAGCTGCGTCCGCCGGAGCACCCAGAAACCGTAGGAGCCCCGTTTGGGCTGTGATGACGTCCCTGGCGCCCTTGCCATCGATCCACGCCGCTGCCATCCGTTGCCACACCTACGCCGGGCGCTAGAGCCACCAAGGCGCCACGTTTGGCCCACCGGTGAACTCGTCGTGAGCCCACAAAGCCGTAGAGCCTCTTAGTAGCCCCGTCGAGCCACCCTAGCATGAGAACACGTGAGCTTGCCCCTGGCGAGGACTGTTGCTGCGAGATAGAGAGAAGAGGGAGCTGCTGCACTGCTGCCACTCCGTGCACCCGTCACACCATGAGCCAGAGAGAGGATAGGGAGAAATGGATGCGGTGCACTCAGCAAAAGGTACTTTGTACCTTCGTTTGTTTTGTAGTTAATGTGAAAACTTAAATTCTATGGCCATGTATTTTATATTACATTTGGAATTTCGTGCATTAAGCGTTATACTCTGTTACCGACGTGATTATAACAACACTCTGACATGCAATTTTTGCTTCTGACTTAAAACTGCGATTTATAGACTATCAATATGTGATGAATTTTATCTTTTTACATGGCTGTAGTGTCTTAATTGTTGTAATTTTCTTTAAAGATGCAAGGGCAGTGAACTTGTCAGGAGGTGTCATGTCCCTAAACTGTTAAAATATATTTTTTAGGTCCTCAAATTTGTCTTTATGTGTCGTCTGTCCTAAACTTTTGAATTGCTATTTTTAAACCCACGACTTATCTCAGTGTGTCATCTAGATCATTGAACTTGCCATAGTGTGTCGCTGAGGTCTAAATAAAACCAATCTACTCCACATCACGATGCCATATTGGCTGGATCCACACCTTATTCTTAATTTGAGCAAGAACTTAATGGGAAGCCTAGCAATAGTTCGCCTACCTCTTTTGTCTAAGGAGCACTAACTTTAGTCTTGCCGCCACCACTATTGACGTCATGGCCTTTGATGTGGAGGATGATGAAGGCATATGGGTTAGGGATGGTTAATCGACGACTGTGATGCGATGTCACACTAGATTGGGAAGCGGAGAGAAGGGGAGAACATGGAGATGGAGTTAGAAGAGGGAGGAAGAGCATGTAGATGGAGCGCTGACCAACATGTGGGGTTGGAACCCATCTATACCTAGATGAGACACCGCGACAAGTTCGAGAGCCTAAAAATGAAAATTTAGGAGATCCCAAGATGCCAAGACAAGTTTGTATTCTTGAAAATGCATTTTGAGAATTCGAGGACCTAGGTAGCACAATGATTTAAGGACCATTCGTGCATTTTACTCTTCTTTAAACAATCAAAATGTTTGCAGACAGAGATTTGTCATATCTTTTTAATGCTAATAACAGTGTCTTGGATTGCGATTCCTCAAAGATTGCATTGCTATCCTGTACAATCAATCGAAATCCTCTAGATAGATTCTACTGATGCCAGCAGGAAGGAAATTGGTTACTGGCATTATTATTCAGAAAGGGGAGACATGCTGTTGTTACATTTGGTGCTAATGTAAGAGATTTATTTGTTTGTCCCACTTGGAGGCGAAGAATTAATGTCTATGGATGGAAATGAAATGTTGGATTTAACTACTTTTGGCCTAGTCGCAGATGAGCATTTAGGATGACTTCGAAGTTTGAATAATAATACTTTTCTCGGTTCTTGAGAGTTGATTCGAGTCAGTCTGGTCCTGATATTCCAAGGACTGTTCTTTCTGCTCACCAAGACACCAACCATGCATATCTATCTGTCTTCGTAATAATATCATATCAGAGGTTGGTGACACTTCAATTCTTCAACAACAACAAAAATACTCTGTATCTTTCTTTAGATAACTCCATCATAGTCTTGCGTTATTACAGTTTACACATTACAATTACCAGAGAGCTGGGCCTGGGCCACAACACCTTTTTTCTCATTATTGGAGCTGGTCTTGACTTGTTTCCATTCTTGCACTCTCCAGTGACTTCTTTCCATCAACATGCAAGCAGTAGTAGGCTTGCACGTACCTCACCTCTGAATCCCATAAGATTTCAGGAAAAGGAGGCATCTCAGAAAGACAAGTACACCCACAATGCAAGATCGATCTCAAGGACCAGGTGCCATGTCGTCCCCCTCGTGATCCACGAGGCTGCCCATGTTGCACATGCCAATGATTTCACAAACACAAACAGTGTAGTATCATTCATACCTACATTGCCAATAAGCTACTGTACGTTGAGTCTGGTCAGAGGCCGGCCGGCCAGCGTATGGGCCTGCGGAGCGGAGAGGTGCTGCACTGGGCACAGCTTTCGCTTTCCATTGACACCTCGCTCCTGCCTCTTTCTTTATTCCGTTGATTTCTCAACGACTGGCCTTGTTCGTCGTCTTGCTCGCCTGGCACCCTGCACCCAGGCCAATAAAGCTCTTGGTGGGTGGCGCAGCCGCACGTTGTGATCCTGCGTGGCTGGGGCTTGATGTCCGTTTCACCCAACAGGCTATTTGCTATTTGGTGGTGTGGTGATCCGAATGGCCATGGACATGGACGTCCAGTACTCCTACTCTTTATCCTATTACTAGGTTCGTGCCCGTGCGTTGTTACGGGACAACTAAACTTTTATACTAAAAATACACGGATTGCACGATAAGATAACAATATTATGAAATTAAATACCGACGTTAAAGTAACATTTAATCCAAAAAGTAAGGTTCGTGAAATAGAGTCGCACGGCGTTCTCCTTCCATGCCGCCCGACATTCTCCTTCCGTGCCGCTCGACTCATCTGCAATGGAGTCGTCTCCCCATGCAGGAGACGTTGCGAGCAGTAGTACACTCTCTGAGGGAGGGCGTTGATATTGACTGCAAGTAAAAGTCAAAAAGACTAATTAATATCATTTACTTACATTATAAAGCATTGATATATATAAAAGAACCAGTAGTTACCTTCGTTGATCTGGTTTGTCAAGTCTTTAAATAGTGTACAGTAATCGTGATTTTCAACAGGTTCCATGTACCTAAGAATAACTAAAATATAAAAAGATGAATCAGGTCTGTAGCTTATAAAACAAGGTTGATTATATATAGTTTCTATGACAACTTTATTTATCTTTTAATCATAGATATTTTTGGCTTTTTAATCCCCGCTCCCATCACACTCACTCTCACACAGCCTTAGGACATTAGCAAAGTAGTCCATATTGCTGAAAAAAAAATACAACCTAATGGGCTGCTCACCCCAACGCTCACAAAGACTGCCGCGGCAGCCGAGGCAGCAGTGCCTTGAAATGCCGAACGGAGCTGTAGACTCTAGTTCTTTTTGGTCGAATGAACTTGTAGATAGTTGTTGCTATGCCGAAAGGTTTGGGTTCAAGTGGGGCCCACGTTCTTTTTTTATTAAAAAAAGAACAAAGACATCGTTGCTTTGCCTTATCCATTCCGCAATCGAGCTAGGCGGAGGCCGGTGAGCAGAGAGCCTGCTCCAATTGAGCGAAATAGCGAATCGAGCTTCACGATTGCTCCACTCGAGCGAAATAGCGAATCGAGCTGGGCCGGTCGCTCCAATCGAACAGAGCGGTGGAGTGGAAGCCGCGGCCGCATCGGCTGCGGCAGTGGTGGCTGGCGAGGCTGCAGCAGAGGGCGAGGTGGGCGGCACCTGAGGCGGCGCGGACGTCGTGGCTCTCGCGGCTCACGACGCCGTCTCCTTCCAGTTCCACCGCTCGCTGTGGCAAGTCGAGACGGGCCGCCACGACACCCGCCATGGACCTGCCCAGCCCGGAGCTAGTGTTCCCGCTCCTCATGGACGCCTTCGCCAGGCGCGGGCGCGGCGTCGCCGACCTCATCGCACTCTCTGGCAAGAAGGGCAATCCACCCCGACCTCATCCTCTCCCCATCTGCGTACCACGGCGCCAGATCCCCAGGTCGCCGCACCCGGCACCCTCACTTCAGGGTATGGCTTCTCCTTCCTCCCAAGTCGGAATGCACTGCCATTACTTAGTTTAATTTGTTCACTACTAGTTTTTGTGCAGGTTAATGATGCCAGATTGGAGTACGGAAGCTTTATTTAATTCATTTGTGATAGTCAGCAGCTGTTATTTGTAGTTATTATGATAATTAGTACCCTACAATCCCGATCCTGCTTGTTCCCAATTCGTTGTTTTATCTATTTCTCGTGCTGCCAGAGCTTGTATCTGTTTCTTGTACTGCTAGTACTGCTTGTTGGTTATTCATTTTGCCATCGATGTTGGGTGTCCACGGCGATGGCACCATAGAGGTGGCAAGGGAAGGAGAAGCAGATCTTTCTTACTGCACTTCTAGGATTTAGCTGTCACCAAGGTGAGCCATATGATGAGCTCGCGGGTGTTTTCTTTCTGGGAGAATTTAGCTGCGAATTTCTTGTATGTTGTTTGAGCTATATACTATCAATCTATCTCATATGCTCACATTGTTCCACAATTGCATTCGTCAACACAAGTGCAGAAATTTTTGAATCCCAGTTAATAGGCAAAATTTCTTAGATGTTTCATAAAGGAATTTACGGTGTTTCAATCCTAGGACTTGGCTGGTTATACATGTTACCACCCACTGCGAAAGGAGGTAAAAAGACACAGATTTGTACATGTGACCATACAGGTGATTAAGAACATTCAATAGCCTACTGTGAATTATAGTTTAGAAATTCTAATCCACTTGAGACCTGAACGTGAATTTTAAGAATATCACACTTCACATTACTACAATTTGAAGAAAAGAAAAATCTAAAGCTGTTTTTCGCAGTTTGGATTTTAAGATTAGCACGCGGTCCATTATATTTGGTTTAAATGTTGTTTTGGTCATCATCTCGAAACTTCAATAGGAGTATGGTACTTCGGTTTTGGAATATGTCATTAAGGTTTAAGCGACTTATGAAACTAATATGATTTTTTTCTAAAACAAAACTCACCTTTTTTCTAAGATTCCATTGAAATTAATATGCCTTTTCTGACTATATATTGTTTCCTTTATGTTCACAGGATGACTGAATTCAGAAACAGTCTTCATGGCGAATGGAAACAAAATTTAAAATCATGTTTCCTTTATGCTGACTACAAGACAGATAAATGATAAAGTGATTTTACATTATCAACAGTTGCCCCCTTTTGCCATCTAGTGATACTTTTAAAAAATTGTTCTCATGAACCGGTGGTTTACGTTCTGTTTCATCTTTGGTGGAATGCGATGTTCCATCAGCTTTATAAAATTATATTAGATGCAATCTGGCTAGATTGGCTTTTCTGCAGGTAGTCATCATAATCTTTGGTTTGCAACAATTGATTTTGTCACAATTGGTTTATAGATGCATCCAAGTTTATAGACTAAAAAAACCGTTAATTTTGGGTTGATGGTTTGGCACAATGGATTAAAACTAAGAGTATACAAAATGGATGCCAAATATTCAGTTTAGTTGCTGCTTTGGCCTCACTGAATATCATCACGAATACTGCAGAAAAGGGTCTGTTGATGAGTGACCTTTTTGCATCTGATGAAATGTTGAACTGAATAAAAAGAAATTAAAAGGAGGCCTGAGCTGCTTTGCCTGATTATGCATTGCTGCTAAAATTAAAATAGGAACTCTGCACTTGCAGACACTAACATAATGACTGTGCATTGCTGCTGATCTTGTGCTCTATAAGAGAATGCTTGGGTAATTATTGCTGCTCATTTGTTGTCGTGTCCAGTTTCTTCTTGAGCTTCAACCTTGCAAGTTAATTATTGTACCTCTATTCGCTTATCCAACTTCACTTTGTTCCACTCAGTCACCATAATCTTTGGTTTGCAACAATTGATTTTGTGACAGTTGGTTTATAGATGCATCCATGTTTATATAGAAAAAAAAAAAAAAACTGTTAATTTTTGGTTGGTGGTTTGGGATACTGGATCAAAACAAAAGTAACAAATATGTATATTTATAGATTATAGGCATAAAAAAATTTGTGGATAAGAGAAAGTAATTGCTACGACGACATTTCATAAAAGTAGGATTTAATTTCCTTTGCATATCGTCACTTACCTGTGACTTTCGTGCCTTGTGTACAGCCTGACCGAGAAGCAGATGGCAGGCGAGGGCAGGAGAAACTGATTGCCGTCGATGTTGGGTGGCCACCGCAACGGCACCAGACAGACGTCGTCTAACCGAGAAGCAGAACACGAGGAGCGGCGAGCCAGCGATGGAAGGAGAAGCAGATTGCCGTCAATGTCGGGTGGCCACGTGACGGCACCAGACAGGCGTCAAATTGCCGCTGACGTCGAGTGGCCACGGGACGGCGGCGGTTTGGTGTAGGAGATCGCTTGGTGCTGACGTCGATAGGTCATGGCGGTGGCACAGTAGCGGACAGACAGACGTCGGCGGCTTAGAGTAGGAGATCGCTGTTGACATCAAGTGGCCACAGGGAGATCTGTTGGTGTCAAGTGGCCACGGGGCGCTGGAGGCTTGGGGTAGCAGAACGCGGGTGACGTCGCGGTGCCATGGCAACGACGACGGCACCAGACTTGGCGTCGGCGGCTTGAAGTAGAGATCGTTGTTGACGTCGTCGTCGAGTGCGAACGGCGATGGCAATTTTACCCCTTCTAAGTTTTTTCACGTGTGCATTAAGCTGGGGTCACGGGAGGTGCTAACTGCAATCGCGTGAGACCGGCACGTTGATTGTTTGTTTCCTTTTTTTGCGTGTCAACGTTATGGGCGCGGGTTTTTTTTGAACAGATTGTCTGTTTCCTTTTCTTCTAGGCGAGATTGGCAAGACGTGGTTTTTTTTTTTGGCGAGATTGGCGAGATGTGGTTTCTCGGAAACCTTCTGGGCGCTGGGTTTTTTTGGAAAGAAGGGATTGCGCCAATCGGTTGCATGCGAGGGAATACAGGCTTTTTGTTTGGTTGGCCACGAACGCTGAGCAGTTACTGCTCGGAGCAGGGCCATTCACGGGGTGCTTTCCTTTTGAATATCGCAAAGGGTGGAAACGTCGATCACGGGGAAACGGCGAAACAAACAGCTCCTGCTCTTTCCTTTTGAATATCGCAAGGGACGCCGCGCGTTGGAGAGAGGCTGCGGGAACGCAGCAAGCAGAACTATGGGTTAACGTTAGAATGTCACACAAAAAAGTGTTTACGTTTTGTTCTTTTTAGTTGTGAGAAAGGGAGATTAGGCACGCGGCACGTCCAAGTCCTACTAGTACTTGTAGTAGTGGGCAGTGCAAAGAAATAATGGAATATATGTGTGGTTTCGGGCTTCCTTCTCTGGCTCCCTGCCATATGAGCATTTTGGGACATAAACATTGACTCGTCTATTATTATATACACACAGTAAAATTTCATATGTATGGTTAGTTTGACAACCTAACGTTTTGGTTTAATCTTTTGATGAGCTAGAGCATAAGATTTGGAAGCTTTAACATGACAACGCCATATAGGAGATTAATCGTTGCATTTTCGCGACATCCTTTTGCTTAATCCTTTTTTTTTTCTCCACGAGCACGCTTTATTCGCTTGTCAATCTAATTGGTTGAAGGCGGTGCGAGCCATGTCACCCACAAGAACTACTACAAGCCATAGCCATTGGTGCGGTTTAGTCAACTTTCAAACTACCATCACTGTCTCGTGATGTCTCTCAATGCATTTTACACCTCATGCAACTAATACCACAACTTTCTCTTGCCTTTATACTTTTGTTATGATATGATAAGTGTGCTGCTCACTGTTGTGCGTGCTGCTACTAGTACTACAGTATCAACGTCGGATAAGCGTTCCATGCATACTTTCTCCATTGCCGTCTTCCTCCCATTGCCTGCTAGCCGCCTGCTGTATGGATTCTAGATTGCATAAGGATATATATGGATTCTATGGTCCACAGATAAGCAGTCCTGGAGGTCGGAAAGATATAAAGTAATGTTATCCATCCATCAGTTAATCACTTAATCTTGTATTCTTGTGTCATTGACTCCGTGTTGAACTGAGGTACTCTTTGATTTATTTTAATTTTAAGAATATTGATAACTTTCTTTTTTCTAGTGATGAGCAGCTGAGTTATGGAATGATTCCATAAACTTACGAATTATTCATGAAACTAAATAAAAGATTTGGAATGATCAAATAAATAAATTATTCTCAGTTAAATTACAAGGCAATAAATATCATAATCAAGAAACTAAAAGGATCGATGTTTTCTTGTGGCAAATATGTTCATATCATTTTCAAATTGAATGAGTGGTAGAAATGAAATTTATTTTTATTTATGTAAATAAACTACGACATATATGTTAGGTTATAAATTTTTAGTTGTTTTAGTTTTATCCTAAGTTAAACTTCTCTAACTTATCAATTCTATAGAAAAATATGTCAACACCCACAATACCAAATAAATGCGCAATCTCAAGACATTTTATGGTACATTTAACGAAACTAATTTGATATATGTTCTTGATGTACTATTACCGTATTTTCCCATAAAGTTGGTTTAATTTTGAGAAGTTTGACTTAGGGTGGTGAAAATAAAATGACCTACAATTCAGGATGAGATGGAGTACGCAATAGTTCCACTAACTATAAAAAGTAAGTGCATTGGCTAATTGAAAATTAGGTCGTCACTAAGGCAGGCACATTTTGAAAACCTCCTCCTAACTACGCAGCATGATGAGAAAGATTGGATGGGTCCCGAAGAAAAAAAGAAGAGAGAGAGAGAGAGAGAGAGAGAGAGAGAGAGAGAGAGAGAGCAAAACTGTGCATGGAAACTGAAATCCATTAGGTTAAGGTTGGTGCAAGTTGTAGTGGGGAAATTTGTTGATTTCCACTTATATTCCTCACAAATAAACTTGCTAAACTGTATTTCGTCGTCATAGTACGTCTCCTTTGCTAATACGACCTCTTGTCAAATCTGAACTTCATTATTGCAGATTTGATGTTTGGCATTAATCCGCAGTCTTTGGAACGCCATACCTTGGGGATCGGAAAGTTGCTAATGTGCACCCGTCTGATAGCTCGCAATCAGATCAGCATGTCGTGCCTGCCTTGTCTGTGGGAGTGTGGTGTGAGTAGGTACCA